AAGAAGTCCATTAGCTAAATTTGAAATCTAACACATTTACTTACAATTGTTGTGGCTGACATTTGCTTTACACTTCACTATCAGCATGGTGACATGTCATGACGGCTCTTATGATTATAATGACCATTGTGGAAATATATTTAATTTCTAAAGCATTTATTGTTTTGATCTTAAAGGACAAGGAGAGTTTTTAATACTATTGTGAATTTGAGATGGTTTTGATTATGTACTAAATTTATAATAATAATAATACTAATGTGTATGTATTGTCATCATTGTATGTTCCCATACAATGGCAAAACTGGCTCTGCATTTAACCCATCCACCACCAGGTGGAGCAGTGGGCAGCTATTGAGGGTCCCCAGGGAGCAACTGGGGACGAGGTGTCCTGCTCAGAGACAGCACGAGTTGTGCAATGACTGGAGATCGAACCCGGGACCTTCGGGTCCTGAGTCAGCTGCCCTGTCTCTATACCATCTCGGCCCCCAATTAACATATGTAGATTTTTCAGTAGTCAAAGTAGTTTTTTTTTTTTTCTAAACAGAAGATGAAGAGTTATTACAAATATGTCAAATAGCAATATTGCAGTTTTTTGTACAAATACAAAAGAACATTTCAATTCAGTTTATTTATACAGCGCCAAGTCACAACAGAAGTTTTCTCAGGACATTGAACAAATGCATTCATATACATAAAAAAAAAGCAGATTGCGTTGAATCTTCACTTCTTCACAGTCTCCCATAATATCAATGTAAACAATCACAAATGGAATTTCAACCTATTTAACTACGATATAGTTCAATTTTGTCTTCATATCACCAAAGTTCATGCTCAATAATCCAGATATAAAATCCAACTATGTTCAGTCAGGTCATCTGGACGGTTTCTTTATTTGTGCTGAGATGTTTCTTCCTTCATCCAAAGGACTTCCTCAATCTGAGGAGCCACCAAAAAAAACATTCCCACAAACAACATACTCCATAGTGAGAAAATAAACCGTTTGCTGTCACTAAGATGGCCTCAGGGGCCCACCATCTCAGGGGCCCGCCCTCTCCCCCGTCAACTCCTCTGAGACAGTCATGCCAAAGTGGTTCAAAACACCAAAGTTTATGCTCAATAATCCAGGTATAAAATCCAACAATGTTCAGAATTTTTTTGAGGATTTTTTTTTTTTTTGATTGACGAAGTCTTTTGGATGAAGGACGTCTCGGCACAAAAAAAAACAAAAAAAAAACATCCAGATGACCTGACTGAACATTGTTGGATTTGTCTTCATAAATTTATTTAATTATCTATTTACCTATTCTGTAATTTGTTAGCACTCTTTATATTGCAACAAAAACACTGTATTATCTAAATAAATGCCTGGCGGGACTCGGAACCATTGTTTCAGAGCACAGTTTAGCTTCCATTCAAGTGTTATATACCAGCTCAGTCTCATAAAATAACCAGCAACTAACACTGATTATCTCTGAATGGCAAATAATCATCCCGATTATTCATTTTTACTAATTACCGTGCTTATTTTAGCTGGATTTTAAAAAGCAAAGACAATTATCTTCTGACATATTCCCTGATATAATTGTTGTGATTTTCTGGCTTCATGGGAATAATTTTCTTGAAATTACAATTTTTTTTTTTAATGGAGGAGCTTTGTTGTGTTAGAATTCCAGTTGATTCGTAAGCAGTGTGGGGTGCTGCTGTTCACAATCTTCTTCTAGAATAGTGGGGGCTAGCGTCACCCCACTTCTCTTTTTGGCTTAACCATCACCAGTGCAGAAATCAACAAAGAGGCTTGTGTAGGAAATCCATATCGGAGTTCTCCCTGTTCCCACTCGGCAGGAGTAACAATCTCCCAGTGCTTTTTATCCAGTGCCTTCCATCTTAAGCCACCACACACAGAATCGCACACGTTCCCTTCAGCTCAGCTAAGCTAATCCTGGTTATCTTTGACCCTTTGTCGCCGTTCAAATAAACTTAATGAGCATGCATCATTACATGTAAAATGTAAACTCCTCCAGAAGTCATTTCATATTTCTCTGCACATTTGAAGGGAAAGGAAAGGGAAATGCTTCTCCGGGGATCTGGGACAGGTTTTCCTTTTATGAGTGTATTTGATATTCGGGACATGCTCTGGCCCTAAGAGCTCCATGATTCATTGCAGGAAGCGACATTCGCCCATAGCAGAGATCCACAGCAGAGACTAATAATAGTGTAGTCTGACTTTGTATCCCACGTGGCTCTCTTAATGCTACCTTAACACTCAGAACGTAGTAAAAGTTATTTTACTAAAGAAAAAAAAAAAAATCAACTCTGGTGGTTTTGCCTCTTGAGAAGTAGCAGTGTAGCAAATATTCAGTGGGCTGGGTTTATCTCTTTGCAGAAGGTCTCTGTTTTATTACGTACTTATAAAATGACACTTTCTAAAAGTGATATACAGCAGTGACATGCTGCTTTCACTGTTAATTTTATTGTTCATTCTGTTTCCTGTTACTAAATCTATCTGTCATTTTAATGAAGGTTTAGACATCCTGATGAAAGACTGAAAATCATTCAGCTTAAACTAACTTTTACATTTTGCCCATGCTGTCTTTCACTCTGGTGTTTGCTGACACGCTGTTCCTGCTTCCAACCACACCCCCACTGCAAAGAAAAGCATTTAAAAAAAGATGTTTATTCGAAATAGCACCTTTTTATATAAGGGTACCCTGATACCCCCTACAAATTGTTTTTCCCCTTTAAAAAAGATTGCTGTAAAATTTTGGAATTATGATATTGCTGTCACATGGGGGCACTGTTAAGCTGTAAATGCATCAGGGTGATAAGGCAGTGAAATCCACACAAAATGGTTGCAGCAAATTCTTCAATAAACCTCAGTACAATTATAGATTCCACCATTTTAATCTTTTTTTTCTCCCCTCTACTCAAAATGACATAGCCCAGGAGTTTAGGGTCTGCATGATTTGCTGTGGGCATGTGTGGGTTTACTTACCCTGAGTTGACTGTTGTCATGTTCCACATTGTGATGTGCTTTCTGTCTGGCAGGAGTTGGGGTGTGTGGGTGGATACACGTGCCATATGTGCAATCCAGCTTTGACAGTTGTTTGTGATTATAATAGTAGTTTTGCACTGTGTTTTAGGCATATGGAATGTCTGTTTTGCCTTTGAATCTGATAAAAGGCACTCGGAGTGTTGCCTACGAGCGTCTGGAAAACACAGAGGACATTGATGATGTTGAGCATCAGATTGAAATTCTGAAATCCAAGGTGAGTAACTAAATAACACAAAGCACTGACATGCAATGTGAGAAAATGTGAAAAATCTTCACAAGTCACATACAAACACAAAGACTACAATCACAGAATGCACTGTACATATCAGCAGTATTTATATCACAAAACAGACTTTTTTTATTCAACTTGAATGCATAAAAATGCGTTTTTTATTATTTTCTTTACATGCCACTTAAGCATTTATTTTGTTCAGCAGTCTCTCAAACATATGCAGCTGAAACAGGGAAATGAAAAACAAAAAAGTTTTTTGTTCTTCGACTGTCTGTTGCAAAAAAAAATGTTTCTAAGGAAAACCAAGTTTTTATGTTGTATTTGTGACAAACAGTGGGCGACAAGGAAGCAAATTTGAAGTTTAACATAGAATAGAAGAATAGCAGAAGTTTTATTGTTCGTCAAATATTTGTATTATGTTGTTATGTTGTTTATTTGTCATATGCAGATTAACACAGGGTCAACAACGTTCTTCTCAACAAGGTTCTTCTCGTCCTAACCATTTCATTGCATTGTTGACCTTGTGTTGATTTTGTATATGACAAATAAACCAAACCTGAACCACTGCAATTAAATGTTCAGGATGGGGACAACCAATTCGACTCGCTAAAAACAACAACAACAAAACAAACAAGAAATAAAGCATGTAATAAAAGTACAAAATAAAGTACCAAAAAGTGAAAAAGAAATATGTTTACAAGGTCCAAAAGAAATAGGGTAAACAACAGCATGGTATAACGGTGCAAGTAGGATGAATTTGTATGAATAAGTATTTCACAGGTAGTAATATAAGCTTAAATGCATGATGTATATTGCACATAACTAACATGTACTACACATGTTGTGTGACAGGTTGCACAGGTAGTGAGTGACACCGAGATTAATTGAATTATGATGGTAAGGTAGTAATATACATGATACAGCCACATAGTGCAGCAGCAATAAACATAGTAGTTGTCACAGATGTGGCTTAGTGCATTGTTATTATCAGTTTTTTAGTATTATTATCAAGAGTTCAGTAATCTGACAGTTTGTGGATGATAACTGTTAGTCTTTTTGTATGCAATGGCAGACTCCTGTATCTTCTGCCTGAGGGTAGTAGACGGAAGAGTCCTTGTGCTGGGTGGGTGGTCCTTAATGATGCTGCGTGCTTTACACAGACATCAGCTGTGGTGGATGTCCTGGATGGTGTGGAGACTGCTACCAGTGATGTCTTCTGCTGTTTGCACCACCCTCTGTAGTGCTTTCCAGCTCTGACTGGTGCAGTTCCCATACCACCCTGTGATGCAGCCTGTCAGCAGGCTCTCAACGGTGCACCTATAAAAGTTGGTGAGGATGCCGGTGTTCATACCAAACTTTTTTTAATTGTGTGTATTAATATTTAGCAACAACTAGAACGGTTGGTTACATGTAGTTCTGCGTTTCTTTGCTGTTTAAAAAATCCTCATACGTCTTCAAGCTGAATTAAATTATCTGGTTGGCTGTGACTGAGTGGTTAGAGCAGTTGTCCTTCAATGCAAGAGTTGGGGGTTCAATTCCACCATCAGTCACATGCCGAAGTGTTCCTAGGCAAGACACTGAACCCCTCATTGCCTCTGATGTGTGTCCCATCAGTGTATGAATGTGATAAAGCTCTGATTATTCTTTCTATCGATTATATTAGAGTGCTTTATGAATGGGTACACGAGGGCACAGATTGTAGTGCAAAGTACTTTGAGTATCTTGAATAGATAGAAAGGTGCTATATAAGTACAGTGCATTTACCATTTTATTACGTCAGAAGTTCAAATGCAGAAATGCATTGCTTTCTGTACATGTTGTGTAAGTGTCCATTCACAACTATATTTTGTGTATGTTTTTTTTTTTTTTGCCAGTGTAAGGATGGACGTCCTCTGTCCTCAAAGGACAGATGCAACCTGGAGGAGTTAGAGGGCAAACTACAGCTCCTCCGACGCAGGGGAAGACACCTGGACATTGCAGAGAGGAACTGCTGCTCTAAACTTGGCAGAGCTCTCAGACCCGTCAAGGTGAGTCTCAATTATTGAACTGATTCCCATTCACAAAAGTAAATTATGAGGACAATGCTATAAAAACAAATGCAAACTGTTGGTATTTGTCTATTAGGCTGAAAAAAAAAATTTTTTGGCCATGTCATTGTCTTTTTTGTTTTTGTATTTAAGTTACTCAGGCAAGATACATACGCCATATCAAATTTGATAACTTAAAAGTTTCATAATAATAAAAAAAAATCTTCACGGTTCTTTGTTCATTTTCAACAGCTTCAGCCACTTCTGTACTTTTACTGAACTTGTTCCTTTGGTTCAAGTTCTGATTGGGACTGCTCTAGATTTACTCCCAGTTCTATTTTACTTTACCGCATATTTACACGAGTCCCACGGGTCGTCTCTTCACCTAATTTACTCTGACGTCTCTAAGGGAGTCTTGCATTTCTAAGACAGGATCTCACATTTCCCAGGAGGCAAACTATAACACCCACAACCCTTTCTTTGATTTGACACTTTTTCTGGGTTGGTTAGCCAATATCTGGACCTCACAAATTCAATCTAATATTAGTGCTTTTAAATTTCTCTAGGATGTAGGGGTCAGAGAGAAGGAATCCTATTAAACCTTCTCTGGATGCCTTGTACAAAAAATGTTTCTAACTTTGGACATGTTGGTACAACACTTGTACTGTCTTAATTTTTCAACCAATCTAGAGTTGAGTATTGATGGCTGCAACGTATGCACGTGCTAACCTCAATTTTTTTAGTTACTTTGACACATGGACTGGACTGTTCCATATTTAGGCTCAGTGATGGAGTGGAGGCCTCCAGTCAGAGAGCTGGGTGTTCAGTCCCCAGCTCTGCCATGTGCACTGAGGCTTTTGGGCAGAACACTGAGAGTTAAAAGGAAAAAAAAATCTCATAGTCTGATATAACGCTAACAAAAAGGCTTTGTGTGTTTGGGTGGTTAAGCAAAATATTTTAAAACTGAAGTGTGTAGCATTTAAAACACAGTGTCTTTGGACAATCAAAGTTATTTGTAAGTTGTTATCAACTGCCACCGTGAAATGTGGGAAATCGTTTGCACGTTTGTACATATGTATGCATGTGGTTATTTTTTATCAAAAATTATATATATATATATATATATATATATATATATATATATATATATATATATATATATATGAAGCACTCTGATTGATTTGAATGAACTTATCAGACTTTAATTTGACTTTACCAAATGCAAAATGGCTAAAGCACAATTTGACGGGTATTGAGCTAAAAGTAACTGAGGGTCATTCCCAACACATAATAGATCCCCTAAGCATTAATTGATCAGGCTTTGGTATACAGTAGTCCTTCGTTTATCACAAGGGATTTGTACCCTGAAGCCCTGTGATAAGTGAAAAACCACAAAGTAGGAATATTAGTACAAGTAGTAAGTAGTACTTTATTTTAGTATACATATATGTATATATGTATATATGTGTATATATATGTGTATATATATGTATATATATATAAATATATAAGCATTTTAAACCCTTCCCACACTCTTGCGATTTTCTAAAGTGTAAATGCTCTAAAAGAGCACAAAATGTCATGATCTCGGCTCTCTGTCACCTGCCAGCGATCTTGGCCACGCCCACTTCTCTGCTGCATAGCGGAGGTCTGACACGCTGCAGGAGAAAGCTTTTCCATGTGCAGCCCACATTTTAAATAAAAATTCCATGCCGATCGTGCGGCTCATCCATCAATCAGCTGTGAGTCATGTCAAGTCATAAGCTGTGATAGAGCGAGTCCACGAAAAACGAACTGCGAAGTAGCGAGGGACTACTGTACAAGGTGGCAGGTCCACCTTGCATGTGAAAATACTATTTTAATCACGGGGCTGCTGTAGCTCAGTGGTCAAGCCTCAATCATGAACTCCTAAGGTTGCAGGTTTGGAACAGGTTGTGTCAGGAAGGACATCCAGCATCAACTGCCAACTTTGCTCACTGTGGCAACCCCCGAAGAAAGAAGCAGCTGAATGGAAAACAGCTTATTATATTTAAACGTTTTTATTAGAGATTGGGACCATTTCAAACATTTGCTTTTAGGACTTGTTCTTCTTCCACTACAAATCATTGATCTGTGTTGTATTTCACTGCAGTCTTGCACAAACATTTTACCCAAGTATCTGTAACAGTTTGTATTTAACCAAGAGGGTTCCTTCCAATGACAATCCCCGGACTCACATTTGAAGTAATGAGTTGGGAGATGAATTTATTGTTTGCAGAGACGCTGGTGAGAGTCATGAGCAAAGCAAAGTGATTGTAACTTTAGTGGTACCACTGTTTTGGGCAGATGTAGTCCTTTCTATGTTACTTTTCCTGGTAGATAGTTTGTCAACTTGTTTTTATTTCACCTGTGTTTTGATGGGAATTAAACAAAAGTTGGAAAAAAAAATAAAAGTCATAAGGTGAGTAAAGTAGAATTAAATTTTAATTATTCTGTTTTTAACAACTTCTCTTTTCACTTTACAGAGTTATTCAATCTTTTTTATTTTCCTTTGATTGGATTTTTTTTTTTTTAAAGGGGTGAACTCATTTTTAAATTGACAATCGGTTTATATTTCTAATCTTTTTCTGCCTTCTCTTATTTAAGTTGTGAACAATTTAATGGTAATCTAAACAATAATGAGCTATGTCAGTGCAACACTAATGAGGAAAGTTTTTCCACACGTCTGCATTTTGCCTCGGTTTTTGTCGAATATAAATATATATTTTAATGCAAACTATCTTGATTATCTGAGATTGTATTTAGCTCAGGTGCATCACAGCAACTTCTTTCTCTTTTACAGGCTGATGAAGAACATAGAAAGGTTACCGATGTGTGAATGAATCACTTCAACTAATGAATGCTTACATACTTCTTGTGCACTAAATTATGTAGGAAAACTTTTATGCAGTCACGCTTTTATAATTTGTGAAATATCCTAATTTGAACATTATGTGATTTATTTTGTATCGAATGTGTTTTACATAACCTATTTAGTAATCCAATCTAATCTTTAGTAATATATGATATGATATGATATGATATGATATATGATATGATATGATATATATAATGATATTTAGTAATCATTATAGTTCAGCTGATGTATTATTTGTTTTTCTCTGCCATTATTTTCTTTAACATGATTTGGCCTACTGAAAGGCTTATTTATTTTTTGTGGCTTTTTTGCTTCTTTGGTTGTAACCTACTGAGTAACCCAATCCTTTTGGGCTGTGCCTTCCCTTCCCACTGTCACATAGTCAAAAGTGCCAAAATGAGCCTCTCCTATGCCATATGGTCTTTTGACTAAAGGCTTGACGGAGCGGTTATTTTTGCTGATCCGTTTTTCTTTTGAAGGGTTCACAGCCGCTTTATAGAGTGCACATCCTACACTTGGTTATTTACTAAATTTTATGAACTTCTTTTATTTATTCATGTATTCACAGATTGTACTGGGTGTTGTCTTCATCCTGGTCGCGCTGCTGTTTATTGTTGCCCTGTTCATTTCTAAGTAAGTCATTTTTTTTGCATTGTAAAACACGGTTATTCCCATAAAACAGCAGTTATAACAAGTAGGATTTATGTAACAGGGATCATTGTAGTTTTCTCTTATTTATTCATAATTTTTTTTGTCATTTCTAGTTTGGATAAAGCACTTCATTCTGCTGGCATCAGTTCCGGGTTTATAATCTTTGGCACCAACCTGACTAATCCTTTCAATGAACTTCTGTTAGCCCTACAACCTGTGAGTACCCTCTCATCCTTCATGTTGGAAAGATGATTCTCCCTAGTTAGGATATTTAAAGTCATTTTCTTTCTTTTGTCGTAACTATTGTAAATATAACAACATTTAAAAGCTGTCCATTTTAAGACCATTGGTTAGAATGGACATGCAATACTCTTTAAGGCTGCATTTGTTCCTCAGTAGGTTGCATTTCAACTTCATAACTGTCTAAACTGATTTTGTTAGAGCTTCTACACATGCACGCACGCACACGCATACATACACACCTTCCCCTTGTTACCTTAAAATTGTTTAAAAGAAGCGATTTGTGCTTGGTGAAAAATTTAATGGACATTGGTTGTTTAGCTGGTATTTTTGGCCCTTAGTTCTAAGGATAAAATACACATTTCAACTTTTTTATATATTTTTTTTATTATATTGAGAATTAGTAATTTATGTCTAGTTTAACTTATATATTTTATAGCAGGTTTTTTTTTTATTGCAACAAATAAACCTTTGAATTTCAGAGATCAGCATATTTTTTTCACAATTCGTTCCTTGACTGAAGGCTGAGAAGTGTTCACATCAAACCATGAGATTGACAGAAAATCTAGTAACTATCGTCTCATCTTTACTCCAGACCCCTGCTACTAGACATAAACATGGAGTAGTACATCCTGTATTTTACTTACTATTCCACTGTAGATTTTGAAGAAGGAAAAATGACAGACAGCTCAGACCAATTAAAGTTTGCTTCACATAAAGTGGCATTGATTAAAAGTCTAAGACCATTGGTTAGAAGGATGACTGTGGTATTTAATGAATAAAGTGCTTCATATCAAGAGTGAGTTGTTAAATATGTAGGGATCAGATTGTATGCTATGTATGGTATAAAATATATATTAACTGTTGGTGTTCAGTAGATTTAATGATCCACATTTTGCAGCTGAGATGCACTTTACATGATTAATGGCAGAATTTTACTGTTAATATAATGATGTAAAAATTTAAAATCTTGCTACACTGAATGTTAAGATTAAATAGCAACAATTACTTGATGAAGTGATGTATCTGTCTTTGGTTTGACAGGTTTTTCCACTTGATTATATCCTGATCACTGTCATCACCATGTACTTTGTGCTCACATCCATGGCTGGTATCCGCAACTTGGGCATCTGGTTCTTCTGGATAAGAGTAAGTCATGACAACATTTCAGTATTACTTTAAATAACACATACAAGCTTTGCAAAAAATAAAAATCATTGCTCAAATCCTAATCAGAATTTAATTTTAGAATTGTTTGGGGCAACATCAATTCGTTTAGGACAGTTTGTCTTCACAGCAACACCCAGTAGAGACATAGCAGTACCTGTGTCCAATTATTAAACAATAGGTTTAAAATTTCTCTAGAGTTTTAGTTCTTAGCATTATTATTTTGTCTTTTAATAAATCGTATTATAATTAGGCCTGTCACGATAAACAATAAATCAATTAATCACATGATTAATGAAAATCATCAACCTCGTTTTCATTTATCGGCTTTATCGTTTCTTCGTGTCTCTCTTTCTACTGAAGACACTGGATGACAAAAAGTTCAACTCCGGTGCTCTTCACTGACGCCTCCCTTTCTCTTTTCTCTTTAAAATCCATTATAACCGTCCAAAATCACGTTTTTGGATCGTTACAAGCAGCTAAGCTGAAAAGCTAAGCTACAAACTAAGCTAACAGGCCGACCTCTGGAAAACACCTCTGTCTTGTCGAAGCTCCAAAATTCACGGTTGAAACCTGTGCCTTCATGTAAAAAGTTGTTTTTCTTTGCAAAAAGAAGCTGAGAACTTGTGTACAGATTTTTTTCTTCTTTTAAATTAAAAGATTTGTGTGAAAAATGCTATGCTAAAGAACTCAAACCACATCGAGCAGCTGCCATTTTGAGAACCAAAGAGCGACAACCCATACCACGTCAAGGGGCCTCCCACCCATTTTTCTTAAATAGACTCGCTGCTCACTCCCTCACTATCCATCTTTCGCTTCATACAGTCTTATACTGCTATCTACTGGTCAAAAAAAGGTACTACACTCAAAACAAATTAAACATTTCTTCTTAAACTTGACAATAATTACTAATTATTGTCGGATTTCAAACAATATTATCGTTTATCGCAATAATTTCGAAGACAATTAATCGCCCAGGACAATTTGTTATTGTGACAGGCCTAATTATAATCCTTGAGTTTCTAATCAACATGAAATGGAATTGGCATCTGTTGTGCGGTATTTAGAGTAGCAAAAATATTTCTAGCACCATATTTTTAAACATCATACTGCCAAGAAACACTATATATGTGATGTAGCATTAAAGCGGTAAACACTAATTTGCTGACCAGACAGTAAACATTACACATGAAATACTCATAAATCACCAACTGTACAACATGAACTGCCCAGAGACAGTTTCACCAACAAAACTGCATGTACGCCTGTAGCATTTTATTATTAACCCTTTTAATTATCTGCAGAAGAGACTCAAATAAAAACTAAATTTAGGAAATTCATTCTCACAATCAGCTATTTTAGATTTATCTTTCACAATAATTTGTTTTATAAATCAAACCTCTTCTGAAATGTGTCAACCCATTAGAAGAGAAATCGATTTGTTAACTAGTTCACATGCAACTACTAAGCACAAGAATATTTAGTTCATCCTTATTCCATTACAGATAACAGCTTGGACAATAAATTACTCATTAGACTAACACAATTACTTTGTTTTATTTAGGTTAATTAAGACAGTTGATAAAAAGCTGACATTTTCTCTATTTTTTAAACTAAATTATTCAATCATTAGTTGTGCAGTTCAGTTGAAAATCATTAAAACTAGTGTGGTAAAATGGATCTGAGCTGTGCTAATTTTGTGCCAGTGATTTAAAGGTTTTAGAAAAATTGGTACAACTTGTGTTCAAATCTAATCAAGAACTGTGTTTATTAAAACATTCTATCGTAATTTCCGGACTATTGTGCGCACCTGAATATAAACCGTGTACACTAAATTTAAAAAGTAAATATTTTTGTGCATACCTGTATATAGGCCGCACTCGTCTATAAGCCGCGGGTGTCCACGTTGTATCATGAGAAATTTACACAGAAAGATTTTTTTAAACTTTTAATTAATTTCTGTAGCGTGGCAGCACACAGCTACTGAGAGAGTTAAACAGCAAAATAAAGCCTATAAAGCGCCATCTGGTGGTTGATTCTTGATATACAACAAAAGCTGCACAACACACACTGACAAGGGCCACCCCCACCCCCAAGAGAGACGTGTGTGAGCGCCCGGATGTGACGAGAGTAAATGGTTTGATGGCATAAAGCTCGTTAGCCCGTCAAAAAAAAAAGAAAAAAAATGTATGGAATTTTTTTTTTTACTTTTTTTTTTAGTTTTTTTTTTTTTTTTTTTAAATATCTTCTGTGATTCCTTGTGTATGTTCCTTTGTACTGAAACTCTGGCACAACAATTTCCTGCAGGATCAATAAAGTTCTATCTTATCTCATCATATCTTATAAGCCACGGTGTTCAACGCGTGTGAAAAAAGTAGCGACTTATAGTCTGGGAATTACATCCATCCATCCATTATCTTTACCCGTTTATTCCATTTTGGGTCACGGGGGTCGCTGGTGCCCATGTCCAGCAGTCACTGTGCGAGGGGCGGGGTACACCCTGGACGGGTCGCAAGTCCATCACAGGGCCACATAGAGACAAACGACACAAACAACCATTCACTCTCTCACTCCTAGGGAAAATTTAGAGTTACCAATCAGCCTAACATGCATGTTTTTGGTCTGTGGGAGGAAACCGGAGCACCCGGAGAAAACCCACGCATGCACGGAGAGAACATGCAAACTCCACCCAGAAAGGCCCCCGGACCAGGATTTGAACCAGGGACCTTCTCGCTGAGAGGCAGCAGCTCTACCAGTTGCGCCACCGTGCTGCCCCTGGGAATTACAATAATCCCTTTTTAATTGTTGAAATTTCCCAAAACTTTCAAAATTGGTTTTGATTAGCATTTATTTTCCTGGCTATCTATATCGGTTTAGAATTTCTAACATTAGGACCAACCTAAAATGTCTATTTTTGTAGCCCATTAATGTGCTTTTTTTGTTTGTTTTCCTTGCTAGCTGTACAAAATACGACCAAAGAGAACACGGCCACAGGCCCTTCTGATCCTCTGCATGATTCTTCTTCTGATTGTTCTACACACCAGCTACATGATCTACAGTCTGGCTCCACAATATGTCATGTACGGCAGCCAGAAATATCTTGTACAGGTGAGAGTGAATTTCATGTAGATTTCTGTACCTTTCTAGTTTTAGTTTTACTGAAGAGTGCCAGCTGTAAGGTGGGTTTCCAAGAAAGGCACTGTCAGTTATTGGGTTCAAACAACTTTGGTCCAGCTTGGTGTAGGCAGCGGTATTGTCTCTATGGGCTGGCAGCCAGGCTTTTAGACTCTTGTTCTTTTTAAATTCTGTCTATCTGTCAGACAGTGTGGCTGTTTCTGCATGGATTTGTTCTTTGACAGTATACTGTGTGTTTTTGATGTAGCTCTGCTCTGCCTCTGGGGGTGTACGCATTCGGTTTCAATAAACACGTGTGTGTTCTAGCATAAAAATAAAATAAAATAATACTTATTATAAACACTCAACAACTTTATTAAGTACACTTGTTCAATTGTTTAACTGACACAAATAGCTAATCAGTTGTAACAAGTAGTTATTTGAGATACTTTTGCTTGTCTATCATCTTGAACCAGTTTGTCCTCTGACATCATCAAAACATTTTAGTCCACACAAATGTTGTTAACTGGATGTTTTCTCTATTTTTGGACTATTTTCTGAAAACCCTAGACATGGATTAAAGTTTTCTGTCACCACAGCAAATTTCCTTCATTTTGAACGTGGCCAGGACAAATTTCTATCATCTGCAAAAATGAAGAGGGTGAAGAACATCGTTTTGTTGTGGCCTTGTCAAAGCCATCCAATCCATTGATGATACAGGAATTAAAGTGACACTGCTTTCAACCCATAATCAGAACCAGAGCTACAGTTTGACCCAATCAGAGCAGAGAAGGGTGGGTCCTGCTGTCTGGATCACAGTAAGCTCAATGTGAGCAGCAGAAGGCTCACCTGCGGCAAACCAAGGAGGACACCCCGCTAGAACCGCCCACCCATTCATTCAATCTTTATTTATACAGGCTAGTCTCACTGAGCCACGAGGACTCATTTACAAGAGGGACCTGTTCCAGACAGAACATAAAATACAGAATGAAGGTGAATGACATGTAATAAATTATTAAACGTCTATGTATTAAGCACGTGTTTGCATTTGACCAATTCTCTGCAGCTGAGGGGGATACCAGAACTGATGCACCATCACCCCCTCCTCCCGCTCTGTGCCCTGACCTCCCAGGATTTTTTAATCTAAAATGTAACTTATTATAAAATGTTAATGTGTTCGGTGCGTCGTCATTGTACAAACCTGCGCATCTTGTGCTTGAGACCAAACTCCAAGTCCGAAGGAGAAACGGATACGTTGCAATGGTTCATTATCTGGGTGTCCAAATACGTCTTTAAAACGTCTTCAGCTGATCCAAAATGCTGCTGCCAGAGTGTTAACTGGAGCTAGTAGGAGAGATCATATCTCTCCAGTTTTAGCTTCTCTCCACTGGCTCCCTGTCAAATCCAGAATTTAATTCACCATTTCATAATTTAATTCCACCATTGCACCCTGTATTCACTGGATAACTGGTCATCATTAACTTCACACGGACTCTTTCACTGGTACATTTTCATCTTTAAATCACTTCTTGGTCTGCTGCCTTCATACATCTCCTACATGTCTCTGCGTGAGTGCAGCTACAGCGTGCGCTCTCAGGACATTATTACCTGCAGTGTTCCCTCTGTGAGGACTGAACAAGGCAAAAGGGACTTCTCCTACTCCGCTCCTGTTTCCTGGAATATCTTGCAAAAAGATCTGAAGCTCTCGACCTTGACCTCTCTAAGTGACTTCAAACATCTGTTAAGTTCATGGCAAAAACCAATGCCGACATGTTCCTGTTTTTAGTTTTCGACACCACCTTACAACTTAGCTGGTTTTTTGTTCGCTACTTTTAATTTTAATTTGCCTTTTGATAATCGTTTTATTTCCACTTGTTAAAAAAAAAAAAATGTGCGCATCCTTTATTGTCTATTGTCTATTGTTGTTGTCCACTGTTGTCGTCACTCTTTGTTCAAATTCAGGTCTCTCTTGTAAATGAGTCCCCGAGGCTCAATGGGACTAACCGGTATAAGTAAAGGTTGAATGAAATTCAAACTCTTCTTTCTAACCTACAAAGCTCTCAACATCTTCATATTGTATTCGAGATCTTATTTTTCTATATTTTCCTAACAGTGCACTTCGCTCTCAGACTGCAGGTTATCTCAAGGTCCCTGGAGTTTCCAAAAGCAAAATGGGAGGAAGATCTTTCTGTTATCAGGCTCCTCTCTTGTGGAACCAACTTCCAGTTTCTTTCCATAAGGCTGATGCATTGTCCAGTTTTAAGACTGGGCTTAAGACTTTCCTTTTTGATAAATCCTATAATTAGGGTCAGCTTGTCATGCTACTTTAGGCTTAGACTACTAGAGGTTAAATTGACCTCCATGTCCTCAAATATTTGCTAAAATTGAATATTTTTTTGATTTGATACTATTTCTATCTTAACGTGAATCTTGACCTGCCATTGTGTATCTGTTCCTCTCAAACCCAGCTGGTCAAAGCAGATGGCCGCTTGTCCTGAGCCTGGTTCTGCTAAAGGTTTCCTCCACATGAGGGAGTTTTTCCTTTCCACTGTCACCTTCATGCTTGCTCAAGATGAGAGTTCTGTGATGGAGTTAAATTCAAAGCAGTCTGCTCCTCATATAGTGTTAACTTGTTGTTTTATATGTGAATGTTTCTGTTCAGTGCCCTGAGATGACTTCTGTTGTGACTGCCACTATATAAATAAACTGAATTGAATTGAATTGAATTGAATTGAAATAGAGATGTGCACCACCACAAGAGCACACAGCCTTGTTGAGTTTCTCTCTTGGTGAGAGAGGCAGTTTCTGTTGCGTTAGTTTTTTTTTGTCATAAAAAAGATTATACCTACGCAGTGTAAAAAAGCTGCCTTTGGAATCCCTAAAGTTATTGTGTCTTGGCTATTATAAGAGCTCACTATGAACAAGTGGTTTCTCCTTTGTGTTATACTCCAACAAAACATTTTTTTTTTTTTTTATCAGAGTCAGGCACCGGTACCAAATCCTGTGTCTGGAAATGCCACCACAAGGACATGTGATGCAGATGCACCTGATGGTGAGTTTCCTATTATATTGTCAAAAATCTTTTCCTTAAAGGTTGACTCTATATTCTAAGAAATGTCTGTTTGCATTCCAACTATTTGATGAAGTACACTATTTGATCATCTTTTTGATTACCCATTAGAGTGAATTAAACCAAAAACAAACATTTGCTCATGAATGATGTGGCTTAGATTGTCACCATACCAAAATATATTAGTTATAAAAACATAAATGTGTAAATTTGCATCACACCCATGAACTATATTATGATCCCCCCCCCCCCCACACACACACACATTTTGCTAATGTTCAAGTCTTTGTCCATCTGGTAGTAGGGTGCTGTGGTGCACAGCCAAAGATGGATTTGAAATATCAGTTTGTGTAGAACCACATTCTGTCATATAGTGTATGTATGTTGGAAGTGTTCTTATATTCCTATCTATGTATTATAGCATTTAGCTTTCAGTATTTAAATCACATACAATATGTAAATGTTGATGTTAATACAATGTCATTGGGTTTTGGACAATATCAAAGGTCTCACCAAATTTCTGTTCAAAACACACACAAAAAAAAAGAATTAATCTTGCCTCGTGTAACAAGTATTTTTTTTTTGCTTAACTTCACAATAGACGTAAAAGACATTTAAGAAAACTTGTAGTATTCATCCAAATTGTTCCTCTATTGCCAATGGAACCACATACCTACTGGTAATTCACTCACTCTTTCACGTGTGATAGAACAGGTGAATTCGCTTGTGGTTTCTATTTCCTCTGATGGTGCTACTCTTGTTTTGAATTAATCTAGCAGTTTTGATTTCTAGTTTAATAAAGCTATACTCAACTTGATGACTGTCTGATCGATTGATGTTGATGTTCACGCCTTTGAAACTAATCTGACATCTGCATGAGTGGGAAGTAATTTAGTCACATGTTGTGAGCCTAGATGACCAATGACTAGTCATGCATGGTTTTAGGATTCTTAAAATTTGCAGCATAGCCAAGGGGGTGTCAAAAAAAAGTTTTTTTTGTGTGTGTGTTTTTTTTAGAGCAACTAAATTGCATTAAGCTGAAAGCTTATAGATTTGTTGCTCATTAAGGCTAAAGCATTACTGCCTACTGTAGCATTAAAACGACTGCCAAATTATTGCATGTCTTCTGCTTTTGCTGACACATCTGTTCAGACTCACTGGGACAAGGACAAAGGAAACTATTAGTAGACGATGCTTTTGGCCCTTTGGGAACTTGTGTTAGACCCTATTAGATCTGGTTCTAGCACGAGTTAAAACAGTTGCTAAGACCAGATTTGCACCAGCTGCGTGATGTGTGGTGTTGCATGTGTGGTATAACATGATTCTCATGTTGCTACACATGCTAACAAGTTAGTGCGCTCATTCTGGCTGCGTGAGAAGTGCATCATAAGTGCTACTTAAACATCTGTGCATCATGTAGCACTGCAGCTGATGCCTTCTTTAACACATGAGCTAAATACTTAAATACAGTTCCTCGTTGTTATATTAATCTAACTTTTGGCAATGACACACCTTTAGCTGTACTTTAGAGTGAAGGCATTACACATCAGACATTAAGAATAGATTACCTAATATTTTTGTTTAACTTTATTTCATGTTAGGGAGAAGTTGAGCCTCTTATTGGTCTCCTTGTTTTAGAAAAAAAAGTTAAACATGATTTTTACACTGATTATTTCTTTGGTAATTACAGTACGTCTATATGTTGACAGGTTTTCACATCAGTTTTGCAGTTTTCGTCTATTTTTTATTGTGTTTGTGTCACTATAAAGTTTTCACTTACTTAATTGTGTTAAGCATGGATTACACAAAACTGTTTTTATGACAGTTAGCAAATGGAAAAAATAGCTGAACGTAGGAGCCATGTCACAGCTGTGCTCCTACAGAAAGATTGTTATAGCAGGACTGTACACATGTTGCTGCAATTCAGCACTACCAAAAGTCATAACTCTTTATCATAAGCCCCATTCACTTTAAAGTTCTGTGACATGACCACAAGAAAAGCTCTTCTTTAAGCTGGCTTTGGTTTTTGTGTGATTGACCAATCCAGCCAGCCAAGTTGTGTGACAGTACCATATTTTTTGCTGTTTAAGTCACACCTTTTGGCATAAATTAGCATGCCCTGAAACTTATACAGCAAAGCAACTAGACTTAACTTTTTTAGATTTTTCTATCTGGATTATTGAGCATGCATCAGGACAAAGCAACTTGTTTTCTTTCTTCGGTATTTGTAACCCATTTTTTGGCTGAGATCTGACGATTTCATTCATTCTGAAATGGAAAATATTGACCACTACCATTGTCGGCCACTGGGGGGCGCTCGAATAATATGGCAAGCCAAGTGCATCATTAATAGGCAAAAGTGCCTATTAATAAGACACTCGGCTTGCCATACAAAGTCACCTTTGTCTCGCTCCGGATCTCCTGGAGCTTCATTTCGCCGTGCCGCCCAGGCAAAATGCAGCTGATTTGACCATCAAAGTGCATTTAATAAGGAAAAGTTCAACTGAGAGACATCTATACTACAATGTCAAGCAAACAAATAATTGTATTTTGGTGGTTATCTTGTTAAAGTTCAAAGAAATGCACAGAGAGTCATCCCTCTGCGTGCTCCCGTAGCTGCAAATCGGCTTTTGAAATGCAGCTGATTTGACCATCAAAGTGCATTCATTAAGGAAAAGTTAAACTGAAACACAACTCTTGCTATAATTTTGATCAAACAAATAATTGTTTTTAAGTGTTAATCTTGTTAAATTCTTGTTAAAGTCCTCACCTGCACACTCCTGTGGCCACCATTTGGCAGCCAATCGATTTTTGGCACAACACCAGCGCACGTTTCCAGGAGGTCAGCGGTGACGCATAACAAACGCGATGTCAGCGGTGACGCATAATAGATGCAACTTATACGGCGAAGTGACGTATTTATGTTTTTTCCACTTTATTAGACATTTTTGGACTGATGTTACTTATAAGGCGGTGCGACATGTACAGCGATAAGTATGGTATGTGCTTTTGCACATGAGCCGGGCACTGCAAAACCAGCAGCATTGCAGATGCATAATTGTTTAGAGGGTGGTGCTGCTTGTTGTGCCCCACACCTCCTCAAAATCACTAACTTGAGGTTGCAAGTTGCTCCCATCGCTAGCTCAGAGGCATAAAAGCAGTGGATGAACTTCAATCCTCTATTCCACCTCACTCATTTTATTCATGAAATAGTTGTGGGAAAAACGTGTCTTAAGATTTCTTTGAAAAATGTGCTTTAGAAGGAGCTATAGACTTATTGCAATAAAAGATGTGCTTGGTCTACAACTTTACTTACTTGAATGGTGCATGTTAAAGTACCATGACCCAAAGATTTGTTGCAGAGCAATAAATAATAATATGCTAATCAATGTTTTCACTTCACTTGTCAGTGGCTTTATTATTGTGGCTGATTGGTGTTCTTCAGTTCAACCACTTATACCTTGGAGTGAAGTCATCTATACAAACACATCTACCTTTCACCAGCAGAAGTGTTTGACTTTCTGTACATGTTTGTTATTGTAACCAGAAGAGTATTTGTGCGGCGGATAATTAATGATTTAAATTGTGTGTAAACGCTTTCTCAAACGACAGTTGACAGAAGTGGAATGCAATTAGAATTGCTAATGGGAGTTTGCTTGTTAAAATGTCAAGTGTGTAATAAACAGACAGGATTACATATTTTAAAAGTTAGGTAGGAGTTATTCATTCTTTTTTAGTTGCTACTTCTCCGTATTTTTTTTAAGCACCTTAACTTTCCTGTTGCTATAATATTTACTGGTATAGTATGTGGTATTGTATTTTTTACATTTTATTTAAAATGGGCTCTAAACTGAGACCGTTATATTAGCTCTGCCCAAGTTTAATTTATTTAAGTACCATTACTTATATTACTACTGTTTGTTGTTTTCATATATTTTAAGTGCCCACATCCTTTACAAGCTTCATATAACAATCAAATACCTATGGACCTATGACTGAAAAGTTGAGAATAACACACTACTGAAGACCTGCACCGCTGAGCTACGAGAACCACTACAAGGAACCTTCAACTTTCACCTGCAGCTAGGGAGAGTGTTCACCCTCTGCAAGACATCCTGCACTGTTCCAGTTCCTAAGAAGAACTGGTCTAGTGAGCTGAATGACTTCTGATCTGTGGCACTCACTTCATACCTGATGAAGACATTGGAGCAGTTCTTCTTCAGCCTCCTAAAACTCCATGTGCAAAACACACTGGGCAGCCTGCAGTTTGTGTACTGGACGTTAACATGTTGACATGGAGTTTCCCATCTGTCACTTCTACATCGAGCCCACGTGCATCTGGATAAGGGGAGCAGCACAGTAAAGATTCTCTTCTTGGACTTCTCCAGTGCCTTCCAAACTATCCAACCCCTTAAGCTTCAGGACAAACTGAACAGGATGCGAGTGGACCCCTGCCTGGTCGCTTGGATCTCCAGCTACCTCACTGACAGGCTGCAGAACATCAGATTGAAGGACACCATGTCTGACACTGATCAGCAGCACTTAAGCATCCCAGGATATGGTGCTTCTCCCTCTTCTCTTCACCTTGTACACCTCAGACTGCTGCTATAACTCTGAGCTGTGTAGCATCCAGAAGTTTGCAGATGACACCTCCATCATTGGATGCATCAAGAATGACAGAGATGAGTATAGGAGTCTGGTGAGGGACGTTGCTGTCTAGTGCCACACTAACCATCCAACACACCAAAGACAAAGGAGCTGGTTATTGACTTTGGGAAGTCCAGACCAAGGTCAAGACCAGTTCTGATTGATGGGGCTGGAGTGGAAGCTGTAGATTCTAAACATACCTTGGACTGTGGCTAGACAGCAAATTGGACTGGACAACACACACCAACCATCTGTACAGGAAGAGTTAGAGCAGGCTGGACTTCCTGAGGAGGCTGCACTTTTTTAACATCTGCAGGAAACTCCTGTAGATGTTATCCTGATGCATGCTCAATAATCCAGGTAGAAAAATCTAAAAAAGTTAAATCTGGTCTTCTGGACATTCAAAAAACAAAACAAAGCAAAACAACAACAACAAAAAATGTAGAAACGTTTCGTCTTTCATCCAAAAGACTTCCTCAGTGCTGTATTCAGCCCAGGGATGAAGATGTGCACATCCTGGACAGAGAGGAACGATGGTTTGAGAGAGGAGTAAAGGAGGCCATCTTTGTGAAAAGAAACTGTCCATCATTAAACGGGGTGGAGGCCTCCGTGTTCAACTGTCCCCCTCTTACAATGCTGTGATTGCTTGTATCACTCAGCCCCCTGTGAATAGTAAACAGCCATTAGTGTGCTAATGATCCATCATTAGGCTGATGGTCCTCCTTGATCATGTGATCAGCTGGTTTTGGTTGTCAGCAGCAAAACTGGTTGATCCACTCTGAGAAGATGCTTTTTAAGAGACTGAGCTGAATACAGCACCTCAGACTGAGGAAGTCTCTCGGATGAAAGACGAAATGTTTCTACATTTTTTGTTGTTGTTGTTGTTTTGCTTTGTTTTGGTTTTTGAATGTCCAGAGGACCAGATTTAACTTTTTTAGATCCTGTAGGTGTTCTACCAGTCTGTGATTACCAGTGTTATTTTCTACACAGTGATATGCTGGGAAACAAATTGGTAAGGTGGGCTGGCTCTATGAAGATGAACTCTATGACGGTGGCTAAGAAGAGAACTCTGAGTGAAATGCTGGACTTTATGGACAATGCCAGTCACCCTCTGCACACCATCAACAACAATCAGAGGAGCCTGTTCAGTGACACACTGCTCCTTCCCAAGTGAAAGAATAACGGACTGAAAAAGTACAACTCCTCACTGCGGGGAGGAGGGGTAACAAGAGGAGAGAGGATGGGAAGGAGCAGTAGCCACCTCCTCCATTCTAAAATAACCAGTAATTGGTTATATAGAATTGTTTACTGTTAAATCTGTATATACGTGTGTACATTTTATTTATTGTATTTTGTGTTATTTATACTCGCTGTCACTTTTTGACACTTTGTGCTGCTACTGTCTCTTTTTTCTATTTTACTTTCCCTGAAGGAATCTTCCCAAGGGATCAATAAAGTTCTATCTAATCTGATTTAAAGCCCAAATACAGCCAAGTTTTTATAAAATTCCATCTTAAATTTCATCATTCAATTGTTATCTAGTTCAGACCACTAAGAAAACAAAGAATGTGTTGTTTTATAAGCAGAAAAGCAAGAACATGAGACCTACTGTGAAATTTAAAGGGAAGATGTAAGCAGAAAGATATTCTGATATAATTAGACCAGTTTTTATTACAAAAAATATTTGTTTGCCATTTTAATTTTTTACTGACTACACAAACAAAAGAACACCCAGAATACATCCTCCACTGAGACCAATGCTTTATTTTACAATTTTAATGAAAGTGATCCTGATCCACTCCAAAAGTTGAGTTCCCCGCTTTTCTTATTGCCTTGGTGAAGGTATTACACTTTATTTAACTTCTTCTAAATCCTAATTAACAAGACTATAGTTTGTTTACCAAGTAGCTAAATAAAATAATAGTGGGTGTTAAAGGAAAATGTCATCTATTTTTTCTAAACATAAAAAAAATAATAATCTGTGGGAAAATGTACTAAAGGATAAATTACCAGCAGCTTAAAAAGACAGATTTTTATTTATTTTTTCCCTCTGGTTGCCATTACATTAAATTTGAGCACAATTGTAATGTTTCTCATATATGTTTATTTTTAAAAGCCTAAGTTTTCCTTAATAATACACAGTTTTCGTGTGTGGATTGATTTTAGAGCCTAATTCCTGGTATGACTAACTGTACCCTTTTGCAGGCTAAGCACTGGCAGCTTTCTTCTTCTTAGATGCTTGTATACATTTGTTTCATTAAGCTTTATGGCAATTTTGGTGCAATTATCTGACTTTAATAGATCCATGTTTTTTTTTTAAATATTTATCCTGGTTTTCTAAAAATATTAATGTTTTGTGAGAATTTTTGTATTGGAATACAAAAGTCAGATCCTGCAGCACTCACAAATGTTTAGAAACGTTTTTTTTTTTTTAATATCAGTCTATGCATTTAGCACAATTTCACTTATAACACCAAATAATACCTATTAAACATTTCCATTCTTGTTGCCATTATGACATTTCTATGTTAGTGACATATACAATTCATCTAGTTGTGTTTACACATGGCAGTAAAATCAATATACAAAATTGTCAACATACAGTAATAAAATACATTGATAATCCCCCATAATACTCTTGTTTACACAATTATTTAGTCAAGTTTGAGAAAATTAGTTTGCACCTCTTTATTTGTTGTTGTTGTTCTCAAATAATTTCCTTCTGTTCCACTAATCCCACAGTTAATCCAACAAGGTCAACTATTATTTAGCAGTTTTGTTTTGTTTTTTTGTTGTTGTTTCTCACTTGTATTTATATCCTAACTAAAGAATCATGGAGTCATCGATAGTGGGTCGTATTAGCGAAGTAAATCAAATCATCACGTATCCTTTGTACCATAAAGACCTCGTTCTTTTTTCTTTCGCCAGAATAATCTGATTAAATTTTATAGTTTTACGCAGACATTCTAGATCTTTACAGTATTCTTATGGTACGCTAAAGATGCTGTTATCACTTGACGAGTAGGATTTCTAATTTATCTCCTGAGCAGCTTGGAAAATCGATCTCTTTTCTGACCATCTTTGAAACATCTCCTGCTTTCACAACAACCGTTGTGCCACCTAACATGAGTAGGAGGATGTGTCATGCTGAGGTAACACATGCGACCGAGAGGGAATACGATCACAATCAGCTGGTACTGTGTGTATGTAACAAGCGAAACGTTTTATTTAAGTGAAAAAACAAAACGAACCTGTACTTCTCTGCATTTATATACCGCTCGTGTTTCAAGAGGGGAGCAGACTTAAGCCTGCTAAAATATGCAGTGTTTGTCGCTGTGAAAAGGTTGACGCCAGTAGATGTGAAGAGCTAATGTCTGCGTGCTAGACCGCTAAGGAAGTAGATCATCAAATTGTCGGATAAACTGGACAGTTTATTAAAGTGGTTCAGAATCAACTGACTTTAAGTAAAGCTTAAATCAAAGGCATAAAGTTAAACATTATTTTTCACATAACAAACATAATCCATATGGAATTTACATTAATTGTGGCACTTGCTTTACTAAAACTCATTTACTTTATCTTTTTTTTTTTTTACAGTTAGGATTAACTATTATAAATTGTCCTTATCTACATGCTTTTCCCAAAATCAGTATTTCTATTTTCCTAAAGCACGTTTTCATGTACAGTATACTTGGCTTATATCATACTCATTCAGTACGAAGTAAAGGCAGATGTACTATGTACTTAGGTGGCCCTGAGGTGTAAATGAACAACATTTGGAAAACATGAAATTACATTTCAAAAAAATGAAATTAAATTTGAAAAAAAAAAAAAAATACAACAACAAAAGCAACAAAAAAAACCACAAAAACATTTGAAAAAAAAAAAAAACAAATGGAATTACATTAAGCGGAAATGGCCAAAGCGGAAGTGGCTGGAAAATGTTGTCCATTTACATGTCAGGGCCAGATGTCACATTAAGATGTGAAAATTTGAGTGAAATGGGGAAAAATAAAGAAGACAGTCAGGAGGTGATGCAGAGTGGAGGTTTTTGGTTTGACGTCTTGTAGGAAGTCAGAGCTCCATGTCAGAGAGGAGATTCTTTCAGTTGCTCAGCTCTCACTCTGTAATTGAGTTTTTCAAGAGGAACTGTCTTCCCTGTAAATGTGACATGAGCCGAGGGTGGTAACAGCGGCTGAGACCAAAAGCCGTGATCAAGACGGTTTCCCACAGATTTCAGCCTGTACAGAAAGTCACTGAAATCCACATGCACGTCTAGATCTGATATATACAGACTGACCAAATTGGACAATTTTCTTTAAAGTTTTTATTTTTACTTAAAATATTATTTTTTTTCATAGCTTTCATCAGTAAGTCTCATAAGTTGAAGTTCTAAGTGTATCATAAAAAATTGACTGCAGCAACAGTCTTAGTTCGTCTTTGAAATAATCCTACAAACTCCACTTACCATTCTGGTGGAGGTGATTTTCTTTCATCTTGAAAGAAATCTTTGACTTAACCTATTTTCAAGTCTCTGCAGAGATTTCTCTCAGGGTTCAGGTCCAGAATCAGGTTGCTTCACATCACGGCATTCACAGAATTTTCTTGAACCTGTTTTTTTTTATACTGTTGTGAGCTTTAACCGTCCACAAACAGTTTGTTAGATTTTTAGTTTATTGCTTTTATTCTGGCAAAAAAAAAATGCTGCTTTTACTTTTTTTAAATATTAAATTGATCAGATGAACTGGAGCATGCACGGAGCATAATTGCTTGCTCAATGTTTGCTTGGAGCATAATTTGCCAAGCACTATAAACATTGTAAGATTTTTTTTTGTTTCCTTCTAGATATTTTGACAAAATCCTGTCTTTTTTTTGTGTTTTACGTTTGCATAATCTGCTGTGTTTAGACAAACGCATGCTTTGCTTCATGTGGCCATACACGGACTCAACACCAGTATAATCTAAATAAAACGTAAAAGCTTCTCAAGGACCTTAATCTTATACAGCTGAGCTCAATTTCAAATGCATCCAAGCTTCTGTCTATTACTGTAAATCAAATATTCCAGTCCTTTT